GAGAGAGAGAGAGAGAGAGAGAGAGAGAGAGAGAGAGAGAGAGAGAGAGAGAGAGAGAGAGAGAGAGGATAGGGACTGTGCTTTGATTTGGAGATATCAGTGGACAATAGTCCAACGACGAGCGGAGTCCAAGGAGTTGATTGACTGATGGAGGTCGTCGTGGAGCGCTGGTCGAACGACCGGCAGGCGAGATAACGCCAGGGGTGCGTGAAGTGGTCGCGGGCAGTCTGCAAGATGATGACTGTATTTTGTCATAGGAATGCTTCTTCTGTGCAGACCTGCGTGCGCGAGGAGAGAGAAAGATTAAAAGGACGCTGAGACGTACAGGGGGGCAGCGGTTGGGGGCTCCGGGGAGATTATGCTTGCCATCGTAATGCCACGTGGCGCGTTTCACGCTGGCAAACATGCCATCAATCGACGGCTCAGAACTCTTACAATTGAGAAGCTCGCTCGGCGAGAAGTTGATGTTGTGACGCTGCACTCGTCTTCATCGTCATTACCAGCTTTAGCCTCTTATTCTTTCTCCTTCTCCTCCTCCTCTTCCTCTTTGCCCTCGCTTTCCTCTTTTTCCCTCATGTCGTCCTCCCAATCTACCTCCTTGTCCTTCTCGTTCTAGTCGACGGGACTCTTGGCTGCTTTGCCCACAATTACTCTGGCATTTTGAACATCTGAAGACGTTGTGGAATATTGTTCGCTCGCAGCACTTGGCGGCCAAATAATCGAGGATCAGCTATGGCGTCGGCGGCGTCAGTGCTGGTTGCCGGAAGGCCTCGCTCAAATCTTACTCCCGTAATTAAACAGGTACGCTCAGTGTTATGCGATGATGCCTGATTGTATACATTCCCTTAAAGCTCTTGGTCAAGTTGCGTGTGTATGTCAAGTTTTGTTTCTTCCCGTTTGACAAATTAGGGTAATGTTATATCTCGCCTGTCCGACTAGCCTGCAAACTGCTCCCTTGCTGCCTCGCTCGTAATTGTCTAGGTATCCCTCTCCCTCTCCCTCCCGTTGTATTACTTCAAGGCGTTCCTTACTTCGTGGCGTACCTAACGAACGGATTCGTACGTTAGGCGCCTTATGGTATTGACTAGCTATCCTTTTCCCTCTCCCTCTCCCTCCGTGCTCTTATGCTCTCTCCATGCTCACTGCCCTAGATGTGAGCTGCCACTGTTTTTTCGGGTCCTAAATGGATTCTCCGTCTCCTCCCTGCGCTACCCGGATTTTCTTATCCCCTCACCAAGATGTACTTTCTGATTCAGCGGTTTAGAACGCGTCCAGTGGTTGAGCTGCGGTCACGCACATTGAAGAATTACACACACACACACACACACACACACACACACAGAGAGAGAGAGAGAGAGAGAGAGAGAGAGAGA